AAAATCAGGTCCTGTGTCAGGCAAGGGAAAGAGCCAACTGTGGGGTAGAGATGCTTGGGGGCCAGCAAGTTAGAGCTGTGCTATGGAGATGGCCCTGGAACTCAATCTGACAAAGCTGGACTGAGTCCTGTGGTCATGGGGAGTCATGGGTGGTGTTTGAGCTAGGAAGAGTCCCTCTGTCAGGCCCAGCCCTCTATAGGGCACTCCTACATCATTTGCCATGGCCAAGTCTTCAGGCCTTTGCTGTGGTTATCAGCATCATAGGCCCCATCAGAGAACCAGCAAGGCATCACTTCCTAGAGCCCAGAGGGTTTCAAGTTTTAGTCCAGAGGCTGTAGACAATAGACAATACATTCATATGGAGTCTACCACACATATGTTCTGGCTCAAAGAATGTTCCCAACAGGTGACCCTGAGTGTTCTGCACCAAGCCATGACCCACATCCTGGAGGCAGGGGTTGGCACATCAGGGGTGATTTCTATGGTCCCAGTAGAATCTGCTGTTCTGGGTCCTAGAGACTCTACTTGAATAAAATGTAAGCTGGCTTACTGGAAAGGTAGTTTGGTCAGCTTCAAGTGACAGAAACTCAATTTAAACCAGCTTCATCTCATGGGGAAGAAGAGTTCAGGTATGGCCGGATCTAGGGACCTCCAATATCATAGGGAATTCCTGTTGCCCCTCTTGGCTCTGTGTCCCAATCTCCCTGGCTATCAGCAAGGACCAACTATAGCTTCACACTCACACCCTTCCAGCACACTCGAAAAAGTTCCAGGGCTTACTGCTTCTGTTTTGCTGAGTGTTAGCTAATTTTCACTAATTGGCCAGGAGGCCTGGGTTGGTGCCCACTCCTTGGGGTCACTAGGGTTGGCAGTGTAGGAGTCGATTCTACAAAGGAATATATGGTGCTGAGACCAGAAGGAGGGATACCAGCCACAAGCAGGAGCTACCCTCATTGTCCAGCACAGAAAAGACAGGGCCCTGCCCCACTGTTTAGCACACAGGCCCTGGTATCTTCCTGACCTGGTACTGAGTCGCAACCCTATCGAGCTACATAACTCCAAGAAAGTCAGTTCCTGTCCTCCAGTCTTACTTGCTCCCCTGTAAAATGGTGCCTGCTTCACAGCATCTTAGTGAGCCAACAAGAAGACTCCTCATGTACCTACCCTAGGCAAACACCTGTTACATAATAAGAATCCAAGCATGCATGTCAGGGCCCTACTTTGTGCCAGACATTGTCCTCCACACCCTGGCTAGAATCTGTAGAACGGAGGTATGTACTCATTTACAGATGAGAAAATAGAGGCATGGAGAGGTCACAGGGCCTGGCACACAGTAGGGCCATGACATGCATTCGTGGATTCTTATTACTGGTGTTTATATATTGGTTGCTTGTTTCTGCTGTAAGAAACTGGCACATAGGGGCGGTGCCTGTGGCTCAAGGAGTAGGGCACTGGCCCCATATGCCGGAGGTGGCAGGTTCAAACCTGGCCAAAAAGTACAACACACACAAAAAAAAGAAAAGAAATTGGCACGAACCGAGTGGGTTAAAACATCACAAGTTTTTGTTTGTTTGTTTGTTTTGAGACAGAGCCTCAAGCTGTCCCCCTGGATAGAGTGCTGTGGCATCACAGCTCATAGCAACCTCCAACCCCTGGGCTCAAGCGAGTCTCCTGCCTCAGCCTCCCAAGTAGCTGGGACCACAGGCGCCCGCCACAACGCCTGGCTATTTTTTTTGGGGGGGGGGTTGCAGCCATCATTGTTGTTTGGTGGGCCTGGGCTGGATTCGAACCCGCCACCTTAGGTGTATGTGGCTGGCGCCTTAGCCACTTGAGCCACAGGCACCGAGCCAACAACACAAGTTTTTTTGTTTTTGTTTTTTGAGACTAGGTCTCAGTATGTTTCTTTACCAGGCTGGGCTCAAGCAATCTTCCCACTTCAGCCTCTCAAGTTGTTGGGATTACAGGACTGAACCACTGCACCTGGCACAAGTTTTTTTGTCTTATAGTTCTGGAGGTCAGAAGTCCAACTTGAGGCCTGGAGAGGTGGCTCACGCCTATAATCCTAGCATTCTGGGATGCTAAGGCGGGAGGATTACGTGAGCTCAGAATTTTGAAACCAGCTTGAGCCAAGAGGGAGACACCATCTCTTGTGAAAATAGAAAAATTAGCTAGGTGTGGTGGTTCATGCCTATAGTCCCAGCCTCTAGGGAGGCTGAGGCAGGATTACTTGAGGCCAGGAGTTTGAGGTTGCTTTAAGCTATGATGCCATGACACTCTAACCAGGGTGATAGAGTATGACTCTGTCTCAAAAAAAAAAAAAAAAGTCCAACTTGCATCTCACTGGGGGAAATCAAAGTAGTGGCAAAACTGCATCCCATCCTTCCTCAGTTTCAGGAGAGAGTCTGTTCTGTGCCTTTTCCAGCACCATCTAGAGCAGCAGTTCTCGACCTGTGCATTGCGAGCCCTTTGTAACAATGAAAATACATCACGGTATTAGAACGGTTGAGAACCACTGCTCTAGAGGCTACCTGAATCTCTGGGCTCAGGATCACTCTTCCACCTTCAGAGCCAGCAGTGCAGCATTTTCCAGTCTCTCTCCACCTCTACCCTCCTGCCTCCTCATAGCGGGACTCTGTGAAGATGCTGGGCCACATGGATAATCCAGGATGATCTTCCATTTTCAGAGTCCCCTTTAAACATAGAGGGTAACAAATCCACAGGTTCCAAAGATTAACCTAGTCGTCTCTGGGGCTGTTATTCTACCAACAACCCCTGAGTTGCACTCTTACTTGCAATGCAAACATATTATCACTTCTGTTCCCAGCACATACCCCTGACTTTCAGTATAGCTTTGAAGTCTCAATTTAAGTGTCTCTTTCCTCTGGGAAATCTTCCTCAATCTCCCCATATGGAGTGAGGCCTTAGGGCACCTACAGATGCCTGTTTACCTGTTAGAGTCTAAGGGGGAAAGAAGCTTTACAGCAGAGGCCACAGGGAGTCATGGTGGGCATATGAGTTGGAGAGGTGTCTTACAGCAGCTAGGATAGGAAGGGGGCTGCAGAGGCGAGGCTGGGCGAAGAGGAAGGCAGGAAGCAGAGGTGGGGGAGGCTATCACTGGAGTCTTGGCAGGAGGGGGCTCCCCAGAAAGGGTCAGTAATGTGCTTGAGGTCACCCAGCATATGGCCTCTGGGTTAGAGAGAAACACTGAACCCGGGTGCAGGAGGACATTGGCAGCTGGCCTGGGTTTCCCTGGAGAGGCCCCGAACCCACGCCACCCAGACAATGTCCCTTTGATTTACAGAGCTAAGGCCAGAGTGTCCAAGCCACAGCGAGGTCAGGTCTTGGCCAAGGTCAAAGTGTCCAGCCCTGGCAAACACTAGAGAACACAGGGTCTTATCCCTACTCTATTCCCCAACCCAGAGAGAATCTCTGGAGACTGCCAGAGGCCAAGGCCAGGTCAAGATAGTCAGTGTCTTCCTTCAGTGCCATTAGGGCGGTAAGCTGGCCTCCGGCCACTGGCCAGGGGACGCAAGTCAGGCTGAGCAGCTAAGGTTGAAGAAAGGGTCCAGGAGCTGGTGGCAGATCTCACTCACACAAGAGGAGGTGCTGTGCTGTGTTGCTCTAGGGAGCCTCAGTTTCCACACCTCAGGGCAATCCAGGAACAGGAGTGACCAGGCATAGGCATCCCTTGCAGATATTCACCTGCTTCCCATCACCTCAACCTTCTTTACTTTCCTGAAAACATTTACCAGTCTTTGAAGTTATGGATTAACTTGTCTATACATTTTGTTGTCTATGGCCCTTCCAAACCATGAGCTTGGTGAGGGCAGGACTGGGTCTTCCTTGGTCACTGTGGTACCCTAGTACCCTGCCTGGTCACCACTCCTGCCACTAGGAGATGTTCAATAATCACTTCTTAGAAGCACGAACATAGAGGGGACTGACTACACAGAACTCACAAGTACATCATGGGTGCCCTGACAATTCTGGAGGCCCCCAAGATAGAAAGGATCAGCTTCTAAGTAGGCAAGCATCCAGAGGTATCCAAGCTTCAGGCCCATGCTCATGTCACTGTCCTAAATTCCAAGACATGCCTCTGCTCAGGCAATTGAGGATTCCAGGACAGCCAAGGGCTGCACAGAAATGGGGTGTCTGCTGAGTCTCAGAGGGGAGAGAAGAAAAAAACATCATAAACCAGTAAACTAATACATTCCTGTTCGTGTGACCTGGGCACACCACCTGCAAAGGTTTGGAGGGCTTGGTACATAGCCTCCCAGGGGTCAAGGGGCAAAGGCCAGGCACACAGTGGGCCCTTGGGAAGCTGTAGCTAATATGAAGATTGCTGTCCTCCATGTGCTGGAAGTTGTGGTGTCTCTGGGTCTCTCCCCATTGTACCTCCCCATCCCACCCATGCAGGGTTCAGCCAGGTGGACAGGTGGGTGGCGTGTAGGTGTGAGCAGAAAATCATATCCAGCCAAGGTCCCAAGGCTGTGGGGCTGTGTAGAGCCAGAGGAGAAGTGTTCACAACCCAAGCCACACTTGGGCCATGAAAATGCCCACATGCAAACCACAACGCAGTGCATAGACAGGCTCCCTGTGGGTCACAGCTCACAGCTAAGGCTCTACAATCAAAGGTCTCCCCAAACCTGCGGGGACACCTCGAGGTGACACCCTCGACCTATGTGAGAGCCAGACCACCTCACTTACAATTCTCTGGGCTCTCCACCCGCAGCCGGGCTCCCCGGAGTCAGCTCAATCCTCTAACTCCCAGATGGAATTCCCCTGGCCCCCACCCGCTGCCATCCGCAGGCGGCCCGGCCCAGCCCTTGCACACGTCGCGCGGGACACAGCCTCGCGCCCCGCCACTCACGCGCCGCGCCCCGCCCCGGTTCCGCCCCGCCCGCAGCCAGCGGGACCTTTATAGGGCGGGTCGGCCGCGCGCTGGGAAGTCGGTGCCGCCGCCCGCCCGCGCATCCGACGCGGGGCCGCCGCAGTCTTTACTTCGCCATGCGTCCTGGGGCGCCGAGGCCACTCTGGCCTCTGCCCTGGGGGGCCTTGGCTTGGGCCGTTGGCTTCGTGGGCTCCATGGGGTCAGAGCACCCAGCGCCCGGTGAGTGGGGCGGCCGGAATGGGCGGGTGGGGCGGGCCACCCACGTGGGCCTGCCCGGAATGCGGCCCCCAGGGCAATATTGGGGGGGCGCGACAGGCGGGGCTGCATGACCACAGCCTGAATCCCAGAGGGATTGGGGCTCCCATCCCCCAGTCCCAAAAGAGCCAGAAGGTGGGTCACCAGGAGGTCAACAGAGTAGAGATTAGTAATTGCTATGACTGCTGACTTTTATTGAGCACTTAGTGTCTACCTCTTTCCTCATCCTATCCACACAACCATCCAACAGATTAGGTACTCCTACCATCTCTGTGTTTCCAGGTGAGGAAACTGAGGCTTGGTGTCACACAGCCTGTGAGTGGCAAAGTCTGGATTCAAACCTTCTGGGTATATCTGCTGCCCCTAGAGAGGCAGCGCTGGCTGACTGGACCCAGACTCTCCAGCCAGGGTCTTAGATCTTCCCCAAGCCTAGAGTCTATACTTGGGACTTTCTGGGAGATGCCAGGCAAGCAACATCCCTACTCCTGGCCTTAGTTTCCCTTTTTTACAAGATGGGTGCTGGGGCACTGGATGTCCAGAGCTGGTCCCTGGAAGGTGCTCAGCTGACTCTGAGAACCAGTGAGTGCTTTTGGATGGGGACTCTGGCCACTTCTGCCCCCACTGACCAGTAAGGAAACTGAGGGCTATCTGCCTCCTCACCCCTCCACCCTGGCAGCCACACTGCACCCCACCCCAGCCCCAAGCCAAAGTGAGAGCTAAGCCCCCTCCCCGAAGGCCATGTCCCTGGGGAGATGGTGAGCTCATGCAAGGAGAATGTTCCCAAGTTGGAGTGAGTAAGAGGCGGGCCAGGCAAGGGGGGGGCCTGCCAGGCGAGGGGGCTTGCATGCCCTCGCCCTTGGTGCTGTCTAGACAGAGGGCAGAGGCGGAAGAAGCAATTCTAGGGCCCACTGACGCTAACTTGCCCAGCGCATGGTGTTTGAAGGGTTGGGCAGAATGCCAGGTGGGGGACTGGAGAGGAGTACTTCCAGGATGAGTGGGGGTTGGTAGTGAAGCAGTGGAGGGGGGGAGGTGGACCTCAAAGTGGAGAGAACCCAAGGGATACAGAGCCAGTGAGGATACTCACATGTGGCTCTCTGTCCCTCTTTCCTGGGTTGGGGTACATCATCCTTTCTGTAACTACTTAGCACTGTGTGCATCAACACAGGTTAGAGGCTGTGTCAGGAGCTGTACTGGAGAGCACCTCTGACCCCACCCCATAGGAACTGTGCCCTTTGCCTTCAGGTGGTGTCTGCTGGCTCCAGCAGGGCCGAGAGGCTACCTGCAGCCTGGTGCTCAGGACTGATGTGAGCCAGGCTGAGTGCTGCGCCTCTGGCAACATCGACACTGCCTGGTCTAACTTCACCCACCCCGGGAACAAGATCAGCCTCCTTGGCTTCCTGGGCCTTGTCCACTGCCTCCCCTGCAAAGGTGAGACCCCGGGCATTGGCCACAGGCCAGAGGCAGGGCTGGTGTGTTTCATCTCAGGACCAGAAAAACTAACCACTGTGGTCAAAGGTGGACCATGGGGAGCAAGCTCCCCCTTCTCCAAGAGGTTGCAGAGGAGATCCTAACCTCAGAGAGGAGTTGGATTCCCATTTGAAGTTCAGGAAAAGGCTCTCCCAGCCTGGTTTGTAGCCTCTAGGACTTTGCTCAGGATGAACCCTCTTCCTGGATGCTCCTTCTACCTGCACCCTGCCTCTCCCTGTGGAGAAACATTTGGCTTGTGACCTCACACTTAGTCTTCCCAAATGGCCCTTAACTCCACAAATTTTGGGGATCTGTGGTGGACTTGCAGCTGCATGTTTAATAAGAATGTGATATCTGGACCTTGTTCTGAGAAATGCTATCTCCCACATCAGACTAGGAGGTCTTTGAGGGCAGAATGAAAGAATCAAAACATTCTCGGCTCAGCGCCTATGGCTCAAGTGGCTAAGGCGCCAGCCACATACACCCAAGGTGGCGGGTTGGAATCCAGCCCGGGCCCGCCACAAACAACGACGGC